CCGTTGAAGGATTAAGGATGCTCGATAACTTCCGCCGATCGTAGAGTCCAATGCAATACCGAGAATTTATATTGAATTTTATACTCCATGGTTATAATAAAGAAACGTTAGTCACAAAAACAGATAAAACAGACACCCCTCGTTGTGTTTATGCTTCTTTTTAAAATTGTATTAAATAAACATAACTATATATAAAATTACATCTTAACGTATGTACGTTTCGTTTCAAAGACGGGAGGACAGTAAATTTTGAAGACTCTGCCATGATCCCGTTTTCCTCGGTTCTCCTCCGCTTAAATCTCCACAACCGGAAATGGACGAGCATCCTTGCGTCAAATGCGGAACTTATGCGTGCATATAGCCCATAGGCTAATTCATGTTCCCTGTTAATAATTTTTTACTGCATTATGATTTCTTAATTCAGAATATGATCAACATTGCGTAGGTGGATGTGATCAGGGAATTTGGCTGTTAAAATTACATAATTTAAAGCCACAACAAAATGACTCAATGTCGCCCTCCCAGACGCTGCGGGGGCGAAAGCTAAATCAGTCATGACTCGAGCAGGGCAGCCGCAGCTCAGTAAATCATATAAATAACCCTTGTGAATGTTCATTCCCGGTTGGCACACATTTTGCCGCCAAAGCGCTGCTCTAGGCAATTGCCTTTGCCTAGTTTGCCTATGGACGCGCTGGCCATGTCCCTGTGGGCTATATTAAGTCTCGCTCTACATTTTTTCTTGTCTGTGAAGCCGTTTCACTCACATACATACATGTAACATTAGGGAAGAAAAGACAATTTACTTTTATTTTCCAACTTTAAATTTCAAAAGTATCTCATATTTCATGTCTTATGAAGCCATATGATTGCTTGAACATACCTAAAGTTTCAATTCACGATAATGTTTTATAATTAAAATATAAGTTCTCATAATATGCATGTAAACTGCATGTGTGTGGATGATTTTTGGTACAAGTTTTGCATCATGGATGGACTTCAACATTTTGTTTTCAACATTTTTCTTAGATGTTAGCATGTTTTTCTTTCTATTCATCAATTCATTGAATTTCACACTCATTTTTAACATCAACAGGCTTGGACAGAGCATGACAATATCCAGATGATATCTTACAGCCATTGAAAAGTGCTGTGGGTTTGTGGACAATCTATGTGTGTCTGTTTATATGTGTGTTATGCTAGCAGGTTAATGGAGGCTAAATCATGGAAAGGGAGGGTGCAAACTCTTCTCTGTTAGCATACATGAGATTTATCTGCTCTTAGTGCTTTAACTCTTGCAAACATGAACACTGAGTGCCTGTACATCATGCTTTAGCAGCAATAATAATAACAAACTTTATAGCACCTATGCTTAAGTGTGCTTAAAGTAAAATGTGTGTACTAGCAGAGAGAAATACCTTCTTATCCTCACTGTCTTAGGGGTATCTTTCAGTATGTGACCTTCCATGGTTGCCAAGTATTCAAGTGATTTTATTTGTAAATATCTTTGCTTTGGCTTCAGTAATAATTTCTAACGTAATACTGAAGCACATGTTATTTCAGCGATTGTTTTGCTCTGTTGGAAAAAATATATCTTCCTTTTGGAGTAATAAAAATGCATGAATGAAATTGTAGGAATTAAGAGAGTAAATGGTTTAAATAATTTATCATTTATATTTTCTTAAGCAGCAAAATTAAAATATTTAATTTAGTTTAAGTAGACGCCACACACTTTAAAAAAAAGCTAAAGAAAATGCTCCTATTTTCTGCTAAAAGACATTTTCCATTAAGTTAACAGACATTATCTTTAACTCTAAAACACAACACAACTGCCAATAAAACAAAGCAAAAACATATTTCCACAGTTTTCCAGCATTGTTATTGTTAACTAAAAGTAAGACTACTAAAAATGCAGATGTAAATAGCAAAAATGTGATAAAGTGCATAAACATATAAACATTAAAAAATCAAGTAAGGTACTTAACATAAATGTAAACTGTGTTTAACTGTCACTGAGAATTTAGTTCATTGAGTTGAATCTCCGTGCATCAAAATGTCAAGCTCATCTAAGGTCATGATGTACAATGCCAACTCTGGGCTGATACACTTTACTGGGTCTTACTGTCTCTCTCCTCCCACAGGAATGCAGGGGTGCATAATTAATTGAATTAATTCAGCACATAAATTCCTGTTATCAAGGGAGCGAGTCAGATATGAAGTGAGGGAGTGCATCCATCTGTCCGGGTGGGCCGCAGCAGAGCAGGGCACCCTCACAACCATTCACACACAGACCAAACAAAAACAAACTGCACGATAGATTGTAAATGATGGTAATGTAATGCTACAAACATTAATGATTATTTATTATAGCTAGAGGTCAGGGGTCTGAAAAATCTAGTATTGCTGTTTTTAAAGCAGACCTTCAGAGATCCACCGTTTGGTTCCAGAAATCTCAGCCGAAGAGTGTAGATCTGTCAGTGCCCTTGAGAACGAGCCTCTTGGCCACTTTATGTTCAGCGAAGAGGGGAATTTTAATCAGGATGCTTTAGTCCAGGAACATATTTGTCACCTTCCCAAAAACAAATACAAACAACACGACTCCCTTGAGTAACAACGCAATAAACTTTCCTCCCATTTCAGGAACACCAAAGACCTCCAACTGTCAGTGGGACTTCATGTGGTGATAGGGCATAAATGGACTTCTGGGACGTTTACAGGGTCGTGGGATTGAATCAGGCTGGGCTGAGTTTCGTGAGGTTATTGTGTTCACTATACTGTAGTTCAAAAATTGCGGTCGGTTTTTTATGTTTTTGAAAAAAGTCTTTAAAGCTCGCCAAAGCTGCATTTGTTGTGTCAAAAATACAATAAAACAGTATTATTGTAAAATATTACCATTTAATAACATAGCTGCACAAAAAAGGCATGATGAGTTATGCAAGCATGGCTGGGAGCATCAGACCAACTGCAACAATGAGTAATTAAAAACATTGATTTGGATTCTTTTATGCAAAATGGCTGAAACAGTAAATATAATCAGTGATACGATTTAATTGCTTAAAGGAGTAGTTCACTTTTTAAAAAAAAACTTTTGCTGATAATTTACTCACCCCCATGTCGTGATGTCCATGTCTTTCTTTCTTCGAAAAGAAAGAAATGAAAACATTCCAGGATTGTTCTCCATATAATGGACTTCATTGGGTGCCAAACAGTTCAAGGTCCAAATGAGTCATTTCAAAAGTAAATAAAAACGTTTAAGTTTTATACGCACGAATCCTCGCCTTGCTCTGTTCTGTGATGCGCGTTTGTGACTCTCCTGTTCGAACTCGTTCATCAAAATGAACAAATCTTTTTTCAGGTAATTTGGTTGATTCAACAAACGAAATGAATGAAATGACTCGAAAAAAGATTCGTTCATTTTGATGAACGAGTTTGAACAGGAGAGTCAGGAGCATGCGCATTACAGAACAGAGCAAGGCGAGCATTCGTGTTTATAAAACTTAAATGTTTTTATTTAGTTCTTAAATGACTGATCATTTCGCTATATAAGACCCTTATTCATCGTCTGGTGTCGTTTAAAACCCTTTGAAGCTGCTCTTAAACTCTCATTTGGACCTTGAATCGTTTGGTGCCCATTGAAGTCCATTACATGGAGAAAATCAAATCAAATCAAAAACCTTAATTTCTTTTCGACTGAAGAAAGAAAGACATTGACATCTTGGATGACCTGGGGGGTGAGTAAATTATCAGCAAAAGTTTTTTTTGTTTTTTTTTTTTAAAGTGAACTACTCCTTTAACACTTTCGACCAATAGGTGGCACATACAAAGTTTGGTATCAATATGCCAAAGCATGGCAGTTACAGCTTCAGAATCAGCTTGGTATCATGACAAGAAGTTATTTAATGTATTATTTGAGAATGGTTTGGTTTATCGAAAAGGTTTTAATAGGAGCCAGTTGTGGTACAAAAAAGATCAGACCAATATACACACTCTAAAAAATGCTGGGTTGTTTTAACCCAATTTTGGATCAAATATGGACAAACTCGAACATTGTGTTAAAACTGTAATTTAAAAATGCAACCAAAGGGCTGGGTTTGTCCATATTTGACATAAATTAATTCTTTAACCGAATTTGATTCTAAATTTAGTTCCAAAACTTTTCAGTACATTCAGGGCAGGGTGCCAATGATGCACAAAGTTTTGTAATGATATGCAAATGCATTTGTAAAATAGGTGCATTCCCACCTTCTGTGATTGGCCCCTAAAAAACAGTTTTCTGTTTTATTATATTTAAAAAGTTGATTTATTTATGTGATGGAAAAGTTTAATATTTAGGATCTCCAGTCTTCAGTGTCACATGACCCTTCAGAAATCATTCTAATGTAATGATTTGCTGCTCGACATTTATTATTATTATCAATGTGGGAAGCATGATATGTTTTCGATAAATAGAAAGTTAAAAAGAACATCTATTTGAAATAGACACTTTTCATCAATTTGATTGGTCCTTGCTGAATAATAATAAAAACTTAAAGACAAACTTTTGATTTGTAGTGTGTGTAAAATGTGCTAAACATGGGATCAAAATATTGCCATATCCAATCAAAAATAAGCCAAAATAAAAAAAGAAATGCTGTCGGCAGATACTGTAAGTACAGAAGTGAAGTTGTCTGGGCAAATGGAGTGGGACTAAGCCAATTTTTATCAGGACCGACAGAAGAAAAACTCACTATTATTATTAATGCACTGTGCTGAAAACAAGTGTATGTATCTTAACTGCAATGCATACTGTAGCGCTAGCACAACCCAAGTTCATGGCTTAGATTCCCAGGAATCTCACTGTAAGACGCTTTGAATAAAAGTGTCTCCCAAGTGATTTAAAGGCTGTGTGCAACAAATGAAATGCATGTGAGGACCTGAATACATTTGTATTTGTTTCTTAACTGAATTTAGAACTTAAAACATTACAACGTATCAAAATTACACAACAAATGTTAAAACCTTAATGAGACCATGGCTTACACTTTAATGGTTAGTGTTAAAATTTTATTCTTAATATAAAAAGAGTGCAAATTCTGCACAATCTGCAAAGGTTTAGTAAATATCCAAAACAGACCATCTGTACATGAACATACTAAAAAATAATCCACATTTTGGGTTTCTGGTTTTGTAAGACTATGAAACACTGGGCCTGCTGTGAACAGAACAGATTTACAAAAAGAATAAATAATATTAATGAATAAAACTCTAACTGCTTTGTGTTATAATGTAGCACCTTTACACTCTTAGAGGTATGAGGAATTAATTGAGACAGAAATGCATTCCCTTGCTCTATCGTGTGTGAATTTCCAGTGTTATTTTCATCGCTTAAATAATAACAAATGATACTGCAAACAACTTGACTGGTAATATATTAAAATACAAAGTTGTCTCTGCATGTTTTAGGTAAAAGCACTTAGTTTGAAATATGGCATACTATAACATGCTTTGTGTGCATCCCTGGAAAAAATGTGCTTTTTTTATTCGATTTTTTTATTGATAATACTGGACAGTGGAAAAAAGAAACTATGATTCGTTGATCAGCTGCTTCATCCAAGACTCGATTTCAGCACTGATTCCACAGCATGGCAGAAAATGGCAACCACTTTTTTTTTTGGGCTTTGATTCAAAAAGAAAGGTGATATGTAGCACAGGTCTCTTAAGGTATAAGTGATCATGGGAAATATAGTGTTTCAAGCCATTCTCTTCCACCTTCTACTAGTTATGTGTTGAACAGGCTGTTTACCACTGCATATTGACCCAGTGTCATACTATTAATCAGTTTCTCACCAATGTTCAAAAGATGTTTCATGCTTCTGAGGTTCTGAACTTCCTGGTTTACACAGTTCTCGAGTCCCACTTCTAGAATTTTTGGAGCTACAACAATCCTGCGAGCCTCCTTTGTGTCAGGATTGTCCCTTTCCTCATGACTTTGAGCAGAGTCCTTCTCTCAACACCAGGTTGAGAGAGGTGATTAGTGCCGCAACTCTTAATGTCCCGGGACACACATAAATAAGAATTTTATTGGGTGAAATTGCATCCATCTATCTGTGAGAGAGCGAACAAAAAAAGACAATCAAGATATTGCATTAAATACTGCTACCATTCTAAACATTATTACTATGTATTAAACATGGTATTTCATTTAGTATTTTGCAAATCTGAGCAGCTCACCTGTATATTTGTGTTACATGAGAAGAGCTCTCATGGCAGATTTGCTGATACGATTACGTTGCTTTCTCCTCCTTTTCGGGGGGTGAGGAGGTGGCCTGTGAGGTTTGTGTGGAGGGAGATGTTGCAGAGGAGGGGATATGGTTCCTGTTTGCAACAAAAGATAAAATCATACACTGTAAAAATTAATGCGCTTTATCTAATCAAAACAATTATTGCAACAGATTACAAGCAATATTATTCATTCAGTTTAACACATTAGAATTGAGTAATAATTAATCAAATTATTCCTTAAAAGTTAACCATTTAAAATGAGTAAAACTTAAAAAAAAATGTCACCATTATGGTGATCGGTATTTGTTTTAGGTTTGTTTTAAAATTGTGGTTTTCTCCTTCAGTGATTCTGCTTGTTAACATCAGGTGTCTTCAATGTTGGCAATATAAAATAAAGAGTTCCTAATTAATCTTTGATGTCTGTCTGTTATTCAGATATGTTTTGTTTAATGTTTTGGTGTAAACTTTACTCAATTTAAATGGTTAACTTTTAAGGAATAATTTGATTAATTATTCTATCTATCTATCTATCTATCTATCTATCTATCTATCTATCTATCTATCTATCTATCTATCTGTCTGTCTGTCTGTCTGTCTGTCTGTCCGTCCGTCCGTCCGTCCGTCCGTCCGTCCGTCCGTCCGTCCGTCCGTCTGTCTGTAAATTGTTTCTGTGGAACATCTGCCAATTAAGCCAGATCTGTTTATTTATTGATTTAAGTTTATATATTTATTTGATTCATAAATATTTAAAATAATGTGCAATGGCAAAAATGACTAAATGAAGTGAACCTGGGGTGCTTTTGTTTTTTTTTAATGCAAGCTTAAGAAAAACCTTACCATGGTACAGAAATCCAATTTCTGGCCATAGACGACAAATTTCTGCAACTTCAACAACTTCTATTCATTTCTACCAGAAAATGATAAAACATGAATGAATGGAACAACCTCATTATTTTACCTGTCCGCTGTGTAGTTGTATGAGTGTGTTGTTGTTTATGATGCAGTTGCTGTAGTTTCTCGTCCGGCTGTATATTCGTCTGCTGTACTTTGAGGTGATGTTTATGTTTCTGCTCATCTAGGAGTTTGTGCTCCTCCTCCTTGGCCTTTCTGTCCATTTGTCTCTGCTCTCGCTCCACCTCCTTCGCCTCTACGTCTGTCGTCTCACCTCTCACATTCGGACCATTCTCCTTTACATCTCCCAAATTCTGACTGGCTGTTCCTGTGGCACTGAAAGCAAGTTGTTCTGTCTGATTGGTTGTTCGCAATTGTTCTATTTCTTGCGTGAGGTTTGACTGGTGATTAAAAGTCTGATTGGTTAATTCTAATGGCCCCATGTTATATTCAGATGTCTGATTGGTTGTACTTTGGTTGGCATGACGCTGTGATTCAAATTGCGTAGTGTTGTGCTGTGACGAATCAGTTTCTTCCTGCTCGGTATGATTGGGCAGTGGAGCCGTTGTTCCCTGTGCTGATGATGTGCCGTTCGTGTTGCCGTGTCTCCTTCCGTCCGCAGGGTGACGGTGATTACTTTTACCCCCTCCGTACTGCGTCTCGTTCCGAGCCCAGCCGTCACGGCCGAAATGGAAAGTGTCTGATGCTCCTGATTCAGAGAATCTCTCTTTAGGGAGCCAACTGTGGCTTAGCAGGTCCTCCAGGCTTAACCTCTGGTTATGTTTGAGTTCATCACTGCGATGGAGCTCGTCTTTGGGTCGAGTTTTTCCCAAACGTTCCCGTGCGTCCTGTTTTTGGCCGGATGATTTCCGGCGCTGGGCAGGCCGAGGAGCCGGCTGACAGCGGCACTCTACATGGTCGAGGACGGAGACGACGGCCTTATCGTAGAGCGGCCGCTTGTTCACGTACTGTATCTTCATCACCTGGGGTGAAGAGGAGAGGAAAGTGAAAGTGGTACATATGCACCCACAGAAAAAAGGTACAAAAGCTGTCACAGGGTTATTACCTTTTAAAAAAGTACACCTTTGTACCATGTTTACCCCTTAAATGGTGCATATTTGTACTTTAAAGGTACATAGCACTTAAAGTGTAGTAGGATCTAAATGGTAGTACATTTTGAAAGGGTACCGCCCCAGAGACAGCTTTTGTACCTTTTTTTTTGAGAGTGTATGATGGGGTGTAACAATATATTGTGTCAACATTATATCACAATACAGAAATGCAACAGTATGTATTATAGTACGCAGTTGAAAAGAGAGTGTGTGTGTGTACCTGTAGGTATCGTGTGTGTGTAAGTACAGGAACACATTGCAGGCTCTTGGTGTTACAGCAGCCCGAGCATCTCTGCACCTCCACGCACGGAGGCCACAACAGGAAATTTGCATTGCTACGGTCCAACATGGAGCGTGTGACCTCGATGACCTCGGTCCTGACCTTACAGATGGCTTGCTGAGCGGGCTGAGCATCTGCAGACAAACATGGAAACACACAGACACAAATGAACTACGCGGAAAAACATAAAGCAATCAGGTACTTGTTCGTATTTTGATTTTCCCCATCGCAAAGATCTCAAGCCCCTCCATACAATAGCAAAAGCCACCCATAGCAATTTCAACTGATCTTATTTTCCAATCTTATTTTAATAATAGAAGCTTTTCTGTTGAATTCACTTTGGGTGCCTTTCCTACTACTTGTGGTGTTCCTCAAGGCTCTGTTCTTGTTCCGATTTGATTCCCCTTGTATGCTTCATTTGGGGTAAATTTCTAAGAAACACTGTCTGTCCTAATCTATCTGCCCCTCGGATCTAACAAGAGGGGTTTGGACACTCTGTTGGCTTGTTTAGCTGCCGTAAAGGCCTGGATGTCCTTATTTTCTTCACCTCAACGCAGGCAAAACTGTGATTAAAGTTTTTTAATCATTAGAAGCTGTTAGCTCACCTTGTTTAAACTTTAGCCATTTGTTAACCCATTATTGAGGAATTGGGTGAAATGGGTATCCTCTTAAATTTGACAAACAGGGGTGCGTTTCCCGTACAACGATGTAACTCGCTGCTTCACTACCATACGATGCATCGTTGGAGAAATCAACTAGCTAGTTGCGACTGTTTCCCGAAACCCATTGTCGCAAAGTATCGTTCAACCACGTTGGTTTCGCACGTGGTGGAGAACTGTTTGAGATCCAATTAACGCTAGATTTGTTAATATAAATTACAGACATGTCATCTGAGGACTGTTTCAAATTGTTCTCAGTTATTTAGCTTTATTACCAGACTCAATATTTGGCTCGTTCTTACATAGTAGAGCACGTTCGCACATGCGCACTCTTCAAACACGGTACAAAATCTTTTGACAAACTAAAAGGCGTAAATTACATTTGTATGTGTTCTGAATAAAAGGCACAGGTTGTACTGAATCTCAGCTTGCTTATTTTGCTCAAGATAAGGATTTATTACGTCCAAATGTCTTGCAATATAGAAACGATGCCTCTAACCACAGGTCGAGAGGTGTCGTTGAAACCACACAACTTTGCGATGCTGTTTGCGAATGTTCGTTGGAACGATGGTTTCGGGAAACACCGACTCATTGAACTATGCTGATAACGACGGAACTTGCGACCATAGTTGGCTAACGATGCTTTCGGGAAACGCACCCCAGATTAGTTCTGTGGTCGAAACGAGTTATTTTTTTTGCATTTGAGGCCTATAGCTAAGGTAAAATCATTTCTTTCTTTTTGAAAAGGTGATCCATCGATTTATTGATTCACGAGACCACATTAGGCCTACTCTGGTTTGGCTTTCATTTCAAAACAATATTGAAAAGTGTTTTTACTGTTTTGTTTCGTTTTATCTTTAAATGTTTCTGGTCTTATCTGTGTTTGTAATCTGTTATGTTGTTTATTGTTTTAATGTTGATGGTATGTACAGCAATCATTGTTCTTAATGGTGCCGTATAACTAAAGTTGAAAATGCACATTATGGGACCTCTGCATTTATGAAACTGTGCGTATGGCCCTGTCTGATAATAATGATAAAAATAACTGATTAAAATACTGTTTTAGGGGGAATTAACTTACAAATGGCATATTTAGTAGTTTCTGCATATTAAGCAAGGATAGAAACAATATTTTAACACTGAAAAGAAATACATAACAAATAATAAAAAAAAAATCAAACAGATAATGTAGCAACAAGCCAGAAAAGAGAAGAAGAACAAAGAACTAACCCAGAAGACTGCGTGGCAGACGGTTGCTGGTGTCGTTTTCATGGTGACTGTCTGGCTCAACCTCTGAAGAACAAAATAACATCATCAGGTAGCAAAATAGGGATGGTAGACCCTTGTAAGAAATTGCAACTTGTTTCTATTTTCTAGAGATGAAAGTAACAAAAGAACTGGCATTTCATACTCTTGTGGTTTTGGAACGGCTCACATTTTGTACATTTTGTCACATGAAGCTAAAGCACTTAAGTAACTCTGCATAAGAGTCTCTACTTAATGTCTTATATCTAAATGAGGGCAACATACAGTTCAATGTCAAAGACAAAAGGTTGCTCTGTAATAAGCATTTAAGATGCATTCTATATTAAGTGTGTGATACTGGGGTGTTGTTGCCCAGCCATAATTGACATTTTTAATTAAGGACAATAATTGCCTCCAGGAATGTCAGAAGAATTTTGAGATTTATTTAAAAAAAATTAATTCGTTTAAATTTGATTTGACAGCTACAGCACAGGTCACTTCAGTCACTAAAGCCATAAATAGGCCTAGAAAAGAAAATATAAAGAGACAGGGAAACTTTATATCCACACACACTCACACATTGAATGTCTGTCTCTTGAGTCATGCATGAGACGTGCATCTCTGTGAGATTTCCAGTACTTGAGTAATTTAAAGAGAGACTATTTACCTATGGATTCAGAAAACAGTAGAAACTGCAAGTCCTGAATAGAAGACACAGATCCACCCTTCACCAACTCAACCACAGCAGCCGGGAGAGGATCGGCCTGGAAGAGAGAGGAAAAGGGAACTAAAGCGTTACAAATAAATATAACATATTTAATATTCAATGTTTTTTTTTATTTTATTAATTCTTTCATTCAGCAAAAGTTCCATTAAATTGATCAAAAGGGAGCGAAAAGACTTTTAAATCATCAAAAAGTTCTATATGCTGTTTCTTTTGAACTTTCTGTCAAAGAATCCTGACAACAACAAAAAAATGTTTCCACAAAAATATTAAGCAGCACAACAGTTTTCAACATTGATAATAATCAAAAATGTTTCTTGAGCATCAAATCGTCATATCAGAATGATTTCTGAAGGATCATGTGACACTGAAGTCTGTAATGAAGCTGAAAATACAGATTTGATTAAAACAAACATAAAATCGTACAGACTCCAGGGTTTTGAACTGTAGTTAATAATAACACATTGGCTGATGCTAAACGTGTCTCTAAATATGTTACAATATAAAAGTAAATCCATTGTTCTGAAGGCGAGCATCTTCCCCCATGTTTAACAACGTTTGAACTCAAAATTCTGAATGACCAATCAGAATAAAGCGCATTTATAAACGAATGTGAATGTGGTGTGTGTCTGAGTGTGCGACACTGAGACAGAGCGTTATGGATGCTGGTTTGTCTCAGGGTGTCAATGCAGGTCTTGGGGACACAATAGCCCTGTTCATACAGCATGTCCAGACAGGGGCCACTGACCCTTGTCTCATCTGGCAGCATTTATGCAGGACACAGGAAAGAGGGCAGAGAGGAAGTGGGGGATGGAGAGATGGAGAAAAGGTGAGTTTGAGGAGAATAAAGAGAGAGATGGATGAGGGAGGCTACCGGAAGGATGGGGTATTTAAATAATCGGCGTGATAAGGGAAATCAGTCACATTACTGGCTGGCGATTCAGAGAGTTTTGCATGGGCAGAACAAATGCAGGAATACAAGTGTGCCAAAAGTTAAGTAGCATCCTAAATTTACCGCACCTCTTGCGGTATGCACTTATAATTTAACAGAAATTGATGCATGGTGAATCACTGGTGTATTTTACACTCTTGGGAGCTCTGAGAAGCACAGTGATCCTGTTTTGTCCAGAATGCATAAATCTCATGAATCATCAGTTTTCCATTTTTCATTTCTTCGTTACATTCTCAAGCGCTCTATCATCGGGCTGTGCATGCATGAACTCCTGCCAATACCACAGCATGATTTCAGTTCAGATCTATAGTGCACACCAGGGCAGAAATAAGCAGGTAAACATTGTTTGGTCGCTGATAATGTTGTCATAGTGATTTGATACTGAGATCATCACAGTATGACTGATGGAATGAAAACACAACATACACTACCGCTCACCAAGGCTGCATTTATTTCATCAAAAACATAGTAAAAACAGAAATATTGTGAAATAACTGTAACTGTAACGTGATCAAATCTGAATTTTCAGCATTATTACTCCAATCTTCAGTGTCACATGATCCTTTAGAAATCATAATAATATTCTGATTTAATGCTCAAGAAATATTTCTTTTTATTATTCATGTCGAAAACAGTTGTGCTGCTTAATATTTTTGTGGAAACTGTGAAACATTTATTCAGGATTTTGTGATAAAAAGAAAGGCCAAATGAATAGCATTCATTTTAAACTGAAAATCTTTTGTAACGCTGTAAATGTCTTTACTGTGAATTTTAATTTATTTTGTTCCCAAACATTTGGATGGTATTGTATGCGTGGACATACAACTTAACGCACAGACTAATTCACACCTATTTGATTAATAGACATTTATAACACAAACACACTAAATTGCTGTATGGTCACACAATGTAAATATAAAGCATCACGCAACAACAACAACACACACACACACACACACAACAGATGGCATACAAAAAGTCCAACAAACACACAGAATAGAATAGAATAGAATAGAATAGAATAGAATTCTTCATCTCGTCTTCATCTCAGACATTTGTACTAAACAAATGAGGCCGTTTTGACATATGTAGAATAGTTGAGATCATTTAACAAATTTTGGTAAATCTTTGAGTTCATCAGATTTCTGACTTTAGTTTTACTTTGGTGACTTAGGAAATCTGACAAAAGTTTGAGACATTTTTGAGATCTCTCCAGAAAGGAAAGACATATGTGATCTCTGATTGCATCTGAGACATTAAAAGATAGAAAATCCTTTTCCTAATGGAAAAGACTCGACTAGTTCACACCATAAAAATTAAATTAAAGTTGCCGATTTCATTAAAATAATGCAAGCACTTGAAATATTTAAAACTAATAAATTTCATTATATTTATTATAGTAGAAAAAAAAACGTTATTACTTTTATTGCAAAAAAAAGCCAATTGAAGGAGAACTCCGGCGCAAAATGAACCTTTGGTCAAATAAAACATCGGTACCTAGTCAACCGTTCTCTGAGATTTGTTTTCATGATAATCGAATGTAAAGAGTTTTATCTCTAAAAACTGTTTAGCATATAATGCTAGTAATGGGGGCATTTAATAAGTAAAAAGAAATCACTAGTTTATACCACTAACAAGGCTCGAAACAGCCTCACACTAACACAGTAATGTAAATAGTCTCGATAAGTCGATCCCCGAATGCCGTTCATAGAGTTCAGAAGTTCGCTGAACTTCATACAGTTCAAGTCACTCAGCACAACATTCGTGGTTTGACTTGTCGAGACTGTTTTCCAAAGATGGCTGCTGCCTGTATACACGAAGTGAACTGTCTTTATAAAGTATCTTCTTATTAAACGGTCTGTACACTTACAAAGTTCTCACTGCTTAGTTTTGCATGTATGGAGCCTCATTATGTTACTGTGTTAGTATGGGCCTATTTTGAGCCTTGTTAGTGGTATTAACTATTAATAACGATTTCTTTTTACTTAGTAAATAGCCCCATTACTAGCATTATACGCTAAACAGTTTTTAGAGATAAAACTCTTTACATTCGATTATCATGAAAACAAATCTCAGAGAACGGTTGACTCAACCCGATCTCACGACCAAGTCGTACGAATTCGACGAATGATTAAAAAGTGGCTAATTCGTAACAATTCATACGACCTCACTCGTACGAATTAATACGATTTTGCTAAATCGTACATATTTTACGAATTGGCCAATTCGTATGAATTCGTACGAATGACCTACCCCTTACCCCGCCCCTAAACCTAACCATCACGTGGGTTTAGACAAATCGTATGAATTAGTACGAGTGAGGTCGTACGAATTAGACACTTTTTAATCATGCGTCGAATTCGTACGAGTTGGTCGTGAGATAGTGTTGGTTGACTAGGTACTGATGTTTTATTAGACCAAAGGTTCATTTTGCGCTGGAGTTCTCCTTTAACTGACACTTGCAGTCTGCCTCATCCAAATAAACCAATGGATTGGTGTGGGAGGGTCGAGTGTGTCTTTGTTGATCACCAGTGCTGAACGACACAACCCCTGAGCCCTGCTGCTATATCATCCGAGAGTGAAGGACAGGCCCAGAGCATTCTGGGATTGTGGAGGAGTGGTGGAATGCACAGGCAATGTTGGGGAGTAATGATACATAATTGCACATCTGCTGACAATGCTCTCTCTCTCTCTCTCTCTCTTTCTTTCACACACACACATGCCATCTACTAACACATGCAAATGTGCACAACTATCAGTTTGTGTAGTAGCAAGAATTAATATTGCATGTCTGTATGGTTTTGATTTTTATCTATAAATGAAAACATATAATCAAGTGAATATGTCGTATATCTATTTTTAACCTATAGCAGATTTGCCCATCCAAATCACACATCATAAAGAGATGGAAAATTGTTCTTACATGGGGAACTCCCCCTCCAAAAAAAAAAAAACATCTTAAAGTCGAGAGAGATCATAATGACAGCTTTTAAATAAGTTTTGATCTTGCATTTCCATTCGAACAAGAAATTACATTTTCAGATTTTTTTTTTTCAAACATCCTTCCATGCAGTGAAAAAGGTGCATGATTTAGAGTAGAGATTTCATGTCTTAAAAAATTAACTAGACATTAATTCAATCTTCTTCTATGACTTCTTGTAGCTTTTTTGGGGGGCGGGAGGGGGGTCACAGAAATGTCATATTTTGATTGAGTGCCTGATGCAACACAATCATGATGGTCAACGGAAGGGCAAACACATTAAAACCTGCAGATCTCAGGTGCTAAATGTCAACAATCCTTGGTGCACTGATGAGGATTACAAGCTCCTGGAGCCTTCGGGAATCAGATCACTGATTCATTTAATAGAATCTGCCATGGGCAATTCTTTCTGATTCTCCATGGGTGATTTATGATGTTGTGGGTTGCCACAGCAAAACTATCCATACGTTCATGTGGCAGTAACACTATTCAAAAAGGCTTTGAAGCTCTGGGAAGTAAAATCCATCCTTTACACAAATAGGCCTATGCACAGATATTCACAAACACTTGACAAAAGGAATTATTCACCCAAAATAAAAATAGAAAAAAATGGTATCGTGCATATCAAAATTATCGCAATATCGCACAAATTGTGATATGCATGGCCTATCTGAATGATTTTAATAGGCTACTTTAAAAAGTTTGAGGTCAAAGTTTGAGGTCGACACATATAGCAGAGAATAAAAAGAGTTATTAAGCCCATTAATCTGTGGAAAACATCTCAATCTGACTCAATGAAATCTGATGTGTATCATTGGGATCCGTGCATTAAAGTGACAGCAGACTAATACAGTACCTGCTACTGTCTGTCACAAAAGAAAAAGAGAAAATCACTCACTGCTCTTAAGTGAACAACTTGTGTAGCTTTAATATGAACCAATGTATATTTAGTTCATGGAGTTGATGGTATTTCATTTTTGTTTGTTTATTGATGTTAAAATGACATGTCAAATATCAGATTTGTGACAATCATTTTTATGTATTTCTAAAACAATATACCATTCACTTTCAGAAGTTGAAGCGATGATTTCTTTTGAATGTGAAACATTGGTTATATAATTTTCAGTTTTTAATATATTTAAATATAATTTAAAATGATTTTACACACTTAAAGCATATTCGTATTGCATATCAAATATCACATTATTTCCATACAGGAAATCTGTCAAACTACAAAGAGTACAAAATAAAAAAAACATAATAAAAGTACTCTGTAAGACTCTTGTGTAATATCTTGAAGCCATTTATATGGAAATTTAAAGATTCTCTATAAATCGTTCCCTTTGAAAAAGCTCTGAAATCTCATTTGCCTTTATTTAAAATAAATCTGCTGACAGGTAACATCAGGTTTGATGTCACTGACAATGTCAATTTCCATTCGTCAATGAGTCATACTCATAACAAACTATGCAACAATTCTAATATCTGAAATCTAGAATGAGATTTAAAAGTTGCAATGGGAACATTTTCAACATTTAGGTTGAAACATCTAGACGCATCTTGCCTGTTTTAATAACATTTAAACAAATTGTTGCTTTAAGTGGGTTGATATAAACGTGACTCGCCAGTTCAAATATTTGAAATTGAAAATGCAAGAGAGCTAAAGTTTTTCTGAGGGAAAATACTTTTATTTTGTCTTGTTTCCCAAGCCAGACAGCAACATCGGCCCAGATCCGGCCCACATACATGTTGATTTCATATGTACCAGATGTGGCCCGGATCTGGGCCGACACTATGTTGCTGTCTGGGAAACAAATCTATCATGTGGCTCCAAAAGAATATACAGAATGTGTCATATGAAACATGTTTGGCCGCTTTTGTCCTCTTGGAGGCTTGACATGTGGTCACCACTAACTCTTAAGGAGAACCAAAAAACAACAACATTTGTTTGAAAAAACATGAGGGTGAGGGAATAATGACATTACCTATTTATTTGGGATGTATATCCCCATCAAACAAGTCATTATCAAAATAATAATAATAAAAAATAATAATAATAAAAAATGACAACTGTGTATTGTTAAAGTACAAGAATGCACGAGGAACCAATGAACTATCTATCTATCTATCATAGGAAATTGAGATTCATTACCTCCGCACTGCCAAACCGCAGACACGCCGCCGCAAGTACCGCGAGAAGTAGCGGGATCCGCGATCTCATCTTGCTGCCGTGCCGCTGCGGGGCTCCACGGGACAGCGCGCATTTAGAGAGACGCTCACGAGACGCTCAGCACTGGGCTCTGACTCGTAAGCAAATATCGGGTTAATTAAGCAGCAGTTTAAGTCCCTCAGCGGCTCTGCAGGCTCGACATTCCTCTCAGTGCGCAAACATTCAAATTGCCCTCCACGGCAGAATGAGTCTCTTTTCTGAGGAGCAAGTGGCCCATTTGAAGTCCTTTGAAATGCAGTTTGCGGATTAAAGTGAAGAGGGGTTTTTTTTCCAGGCGAAACACCAAAATCCCGGATTCCTCAGCTGGCGGTTATATTTAATCATTCATTTACATGCTCCATTCCAATAACGACGCCTCTTATTATTATCTGAGAAAACTGTCATCTAAAATATCTGTTCAGTCATGGCAATAAAAAAAGTAATTCAATTATTAAAAAAATAGCAGTCAGACAGGACTTTTTATTAATAAAAAAAACGTATTTAAAGTGGTGCGCGTGCGGCCCCTTTGTTTGGTTTAAAATTACCACAATTAACACCGTTGATTAAGTAGGTTATTAAAAAAGTTATATATAAAAAAGGCTTTCAAATCCAAGCTGTTCCATGTGTAATTCACGAGGGTCCCTTCGTCTTCGCATTGCCCCTAATGAAAGCGACATTAATGGAAGTTAAATTAAAACTCTTGGTCTTGCAGTTTTCTTATCAATGTCTAGCGCGTGCACGGCCCCGCGCGAGCTGTCTGTGCGGTGTTGATTATGGGACTGTGGCTCTGAGGAGGATTTCAGGGGTCTGTATGTGGACTCTTATCTTACCCTCCCCTTAAAGGCAGGGCTGCACTCACTGAGAAAGAGAGAGAGAGGGGATGGGAGGTGAGTGAGGAGCTCAGATGAGGTGCTGAAGTCTTGTTACTTGGATGAACACGTTTTAATGGTAGAAACATATTTTAGATGTACATATGCATGAGAACCAAAAGAAAATTTCATTATGTTTTCTTATGTTTTTCACACTGAAAATATATACTATAGGCTAGCCTACTCCACCTCATGTTTTGCTTACTTTTTTGAAAAACTTCTGCAAAATGTTCATGCTGATGCTGTTCTTTCCTAAAGGCATTCAGCTATCCATGACACATTCACTATTATGTCATATACTAAAAATCTAGCTCACAAATGGCATTTGCATATTTACAGTAGCCTATATTTAAACGTGCACTGCAATGTCATCAATAGCAATGTCATTACTTATTACGGGTCAGAATTCACTTCAGACATAAAAGTTATTTTTTACATGAGATGTTCTTTTATAAATTGCATGATAATGCAAGAAACATTCAATTCACATATTTGGAAAAAAAAATGTATAAAGAATGACATGAGCATGAATAAGTTATTGTTTCATTATAGAATGAATGAGATGGTGGAGACATATTCTCTCCAGCCAGTGCACTTTTAAATGTTTTCACAGCTTTGCTCATGGCGATGGAATCAAAAGGTGTGTCTAAATACCAAAACTTTTATGACCTTAAATACCAAAACTCTAAATCTTATGACCTTTCAGATTTGCACAATGGGTGTCCGAGTTATGAAACCAAAAGGGTCGGAAGTCTAAAACGAAGGTGACTGAAACAGCTCTGTTATACATAATTTAATGTAAATCTTCATGCATTAGTAAGAATCATTTATTTTTCCCACTACAAAGAACCGGTTTTAACGGATGTTAAAGGTTTTTTATGGAAATACCAATGAAGAGTGTGATCCGAATATCTTGAGGTGAGGATCTAGAAGTGCTGTTGCTTCAGCATAAAGGCCTGAAACACTTTTTAAATAAGAATTTTAATGTGAAAATGAATCAGAACAAACAAATCTCTTGTATTAAGATCCAAGTTTAAGAAAAGGTTTATGCTTACCCATCTGTGATCAAAATCATGTTGCACCAACTCATTTAAAAGATATTAAATGATAGTTTTCTAGCTGAGTTAATATATTTGTCTATACACTAATAACAAGCCTTTAAGCATAAACCTTTTGAATGGTCTAAAAAAATACTTTGACTCACTGGCAGTGGATGTTTAAAGGAAAAAGTTGAGAAAAAGCAGGAGATAAAAAGTTGGTGCTTTACATTTTTAAGTAGTCATTTTGGATGTTTCAGTCATTTCAACTTAAATTTCATTAAATTGACTAAACTATTTTCTAATCTTGTATAACAAACAAAAAATACTTATTTTGATGAGTTAAAGCAATGTAAAAAGTGTAAAAAAAACAACAACAACAACAAAATAGCACTTTAATCAACTGACCTCAAATTGTGTATTTAAAAAACATTTGCACTTAAAACCAAATGATGTTAATGAACCACGTTTATGAGCAAAGCACTAGAAAAATGTGTGGGCAGCTGCCAATGGCCTCAAACAAAAGAGCACTGTGGTCAGACAGAGCGATGAGACCCATCACTGACACGCGTGTGTGAGCAGATATCATCTGTCTTATTAGGAAAAGGACAGGTCAAGAGGTCAAGTGTGAACAAGGCTGGCTGGACAACCTCTCGCAACTAATCCAATCTCTCATTCATCTCTCTGCTCCCGTTCTGTTCTTCTCTTTTCCACAGAATTGTGCAGCGTTCATCTTTTTATTCACTATTCATCTCACGCTGTAACTCCCACACTCCCTCTTTCTCCTTCCATTTCTTTGTCTCCCGCTTCCTCTCTCCTTCTCCACCTCCTCCCTGCCCCCTATCATCCTTTCATCCTTTTGATATTGCACTATTCCTTGGTTTCTTTCATCTGTAATATGTTCAAGTCTGTTCATGATTATGTACTTCTCTTTCCATCTCTCTGTACATGCCAAACTTTAAACAAGTATTTCTCTGTCAGAAAGGCCTTTGGAACGCAGTCAAACAATTATATGTTTATTAATTTAGATCATTTTATTTCACGTATAGTGCTGTAGAAATTGCACACTTAAAAAGGACATTTAAATGGTTCCTAAAGTGTTCTGAGTGCGTTGCTATACAAGACTTTAGTGAAGGAAAGGACTACCCATAAAGTATTGAAATAATCAAATTAAAAATGATTGAGAAATTATTTAAAACGTTGATTATATATATATAGCATATATAAACAATTTTTTTTAAGTTCATTGTAAAATATGCACATAGGCTACGTTTAAACACTTTGAGAAAGAGATTGACTCAATTACGACATTCTCTCTTTTGAGCTCAGATCTTTTAGTGCGTTATGCTTGTTTCGACTCTGATAGGTGGAATTTGCATCATGGATCATCATCAATCAATTTTTCACCTCAAATTCACTGTAAGTTGTGACAACATGTGTTTTCACATTGCTTAGTTTAACTCATCAAAATAAGTAAGCAATTTTCAACGTTTTTTATAAGTTACACAAGATGTATCTCATTGAAGTCAACTTTAATGTAATTCAAGTTGAAATGACTTAAACATCTAAGTTGATTGTGCTTAAAAAAATGTAAGCAACTTTTTCTTTACAGTGAATACTATGGATTAACTACCTTGTAGCTCACAGTAAGGCTGTCTTTAATGGTTTTACATTATCATTAAAAATCAATTTCCCAATGGAGAAAATGAAATGAGTTCTTACTTCTGGAACCCGACGGATCTTCGTTCAGGAGAAGTTCGTCCCGGCTGGTAAACACCTTCGAATTACCATTGGTTAATCCAAATGAGGTAATAGGTGTGGCTCTGAGACTCCGCCTTCTTTAATGTGAAAATATTGTCCGACCCTCAAGCTAAAACACAAGTAAAAACAAACTATTTTTTAATGTTAAATACTGTACAGCTGTTTGAATTAAAGCAATAAAGTGCTGTATAAATAAATGTGACATGACTGATTGTGCAAACATATCCACATCGCTACGATCAGATGCTTTCTTAACTGCTGTTTTCACACTGCTTTTGTGTTTTTGTTACTGAAAGGAAACAGCAGCATATATTTACATATTTTTCTAAATGTGGAGAAAATGAAAAAGAACATGGCTGTGTTTATATAGAGGCCTTACTAGCATGGCTCCACGAATAATTGTTCAATCAAAGCTTAATTCATGAGAAATGTAACCAACTTTTGACATTATGCTGTGATTATTTACCATTATAATCACTGTGATTGGAGCGATGTCTTGCTGTGATGTCATCATGACCATCCGGGACAGGATGCTGTACACGAGTAACAGCGGGACTCAATGAACCGGATAAAGACCGGAGAGGAACACTATTGTTCAGAACTGCAGAGCCATTACACCACAAAGCCAGCTGTTGGGACTCTTGGGTGTGTTCACTCACAGTCCGAGTGTGGCAGATCAATTATGAACGCCATCAGAACTCTATCTAGTCCAGTGAACATGGTCATGCATAGAAGTCTAGATCAGTGTTTCCCCTCATAAAGCTCCAGTAACCCTTCAGCAACACCAAACCAGAAATATGCTCATTTTAACTTAAATATTATACTAGATATAGATATAACTATACCATGGATATTATTCAAATAGATTTTTTTATAATAATTAAAAAATATTATACTAGATTTTTTACTTTACCACAAATGTTATTAATAGATATTATAATTCCAACAAAGCAATCGATACTGAAGTTTGAGAAACAGACTCACATAGTAGATTTAAATTAAAGATGTTTAAGGATTTTAATTGTAAAATAAATAAATACCATAAACAAGATTGAGAAAAATGGAAAAACTATGAAGAACAGTTAAAAAACCAAAACAGCAATTTGTCCAACACTATTGTGCATTACATTCTACCAAGGCTGCATTTATTTGATCAGAAATACTGTAAAAACTGTAATCTATGTTTTCTATTTTACTTTAAAATATATTTTATTCCTGTGTTGTCAAAGTTGAATTTTCAGCATAATTACTCCTGTCTCCAGTGTCACATGATCTTTCAGAAATCATAATGATTTCCTGTGTAAGAAACATTTCTTATTATGAAAACAGTTGTGCTGCTTAATATTTCCAAAACTTTTTTTCCAGTTTTTTTTTTTGAATGAATAGATATTTTATTTTAAATAATGTACAAGTCTTGTACATTATTTTAAATAATAATGTACATTTCTTTAAAACAAATTGCTGGCACCAAACTTTGAAATGGTAATTTATCACATATATTTGTTTTTAATTAATTGAATCTTTGGAAAAGCCCTATCATTTTTAAATTCATAATTTCTAAAAAAGTTTCCTAGATATAAAAATCAGAACTGCTCACCACAAGAGAAAGAAAGCTATAAAATGAGAGAACCGAGAGACAGAGAGATCAAATAATAAGTCATATTATTCACTGATAGCATGATGAAGTAATGAGTTTTGACAAATGGTCACTCCTCTGCACTGGACCTTTCGCTCCAGAGCATTATGTATGGACCAATTGTCATCATCTCTGCTATGATGAAGAGGCTCTTATTATGCCTTTTGGATTATATTCATTGATTTGTTCCCATCAAACAACATGTTATTGTTGTCCTCTTCCGGCCAAACTGGTGACTTTGTTCCGAGTGAGTGTACATCTCCTCTCAAACCAAACTAGCTCTGACAAAAGGGAGTTTTCCGTTGCCTAACCTGAACAGCACTTCCTCAACACACACAATGCTGAAGTGTCACTGGAATCTTTCCACATTACAAACGAGGTGTTCACCCAGAAGAATACATAATCCTCACAACCCGTCTAAAATAATAAAACATTAGGTTTTTATACTCAATAGACAGTGTGCATCCCCAAATACATGGTTCAGAACAGA